TCATGATTTGATATTTTTTTTATGGTACCTTCCAAATTATTAATCCAGGGTTGACATTGCCTTAAGATCATTCAACAAGGACCTTTAAGAAACATGGTAGCACTATGTCGGATTCGACAGCCATGCATGGTGCAGCGGCGTTTGGCCGTTTCGCGCTTTCAGCTGCAGCTGCAGTGCGCAGTGAACGAGCCAAGACTGTCCATTTGGCTGAGGGTCAACATTGAACACCCGCAAATTGGAATCCAACAATAAAACATAATAAAACTACAATGTGAGGCCCCCAAGATAGCTAAGTTGGTTTATAACTCCAATAACTATGGTTTATGGTACTTATAACTATAGTTACTGGGGCTTATAAACCAACTTATAACTGGGGGGCCTCACATTGTACCATTTGGGAATTGAGTTTACCACACATCATGGCTATCCCAGGCGAATGAATGCTACGTGTATAGTCCTATATTCTAGATTATCATCCATTTATAAATATCCATGAATATTACATATCATATTATCATATATCATCAATATAGCAATCTTATATCGGAGATTCATATTTCGGGGGGATGGTGCAAACAAGTGACTTACCGTTGTGACTGTGCCCTGATCTCCGAGCGCCATGTCTTGACCGCCATGGCATGGAGGGTCAGTTGCAGGAGCTTGCCCACCAGGCGGGGCGACTGAACCAGAAAAGTCGAAACAACTTGGGATGTTCAGCAGGGGCAGGGTACCCTAGATTTTTACATGAATTTATAAGATTTTATATGGCCAAAAAATCAAGAACTGTGAACATGACATGTTGATGAAGTTTTGGGGTGGTACCAGTGTTGATCCGAAGCAACATATGCACGTTTGTGAATGATTCTTCAACACTGCCAGATTCTCCCTGATTCCTTGACATAAATTGAACCATGGCACAATCCCAGAACTGGATGAAGGGAACATGCCCAGGAAAGCACTACAATTGACAGGTAGCACAATCCACTGGTAGATCATTCAATAGATAAAGATTCAGACGCCAAAAAAACATGGATATCAATGTACCCATTCATCATTGATAGATACAGTCTGATTTTGTTTGCTGTAGATGTTCCTTGAAAAACCAATCAATATAGGTAAATCGCCCACTTCGATTCCCATGGAATATCCCCTATAGATCACCAAGACAAATCACCAATCGCAGCACGTGAAAAATCACCCTCTTTATCAAGGCTTGGTATGGCTTGGTACCCCCTGGTAAATTAACTTGTTGACCCTGAAAATCACATTTTTTTTAATGGAAACTAGTCTTCCCCTATTTGCCAGGGTCTATGTTAATTTACCAGAGGGTAAATGATTTAGTAAATGTCCCTTTTTCGATTAGATCACCCAACCACTGGGGATATGTGAAATTCACATCACCCAACTGGGGATATGTTTGTTCAAAGAAATACCTGTAAGTGATGTTCAAAATTCCAAAAACAGGACATTTACCAACCTGTGTTTATCAAACATAATGTGATGATTCAATTGAGTCTTGTTCAAGAAATAGACAGTGGAATCCAACCATTGGTAGGTGAACTATTTCTACATATGTCTACCATTCATGATACTATATATATATATACATACAATCAGAATCATATGTAATATATATATATATATGAGCAAGAGGCTAAACTCTCCGTGTAGGAGGTATGTATTCGAGCGCTCTCGTATGTAAAAATATGCATCTTGATATGTAAAACGATATAGTGAAGTCCCAAAAACGATAACCTGGGAATCATATTATATGTAAAAGCATTGTGGGAAGTGAAGGGGTTGTGTACATGACATGATGGTGGATACGTGTTCTATAAGCATGTAGATCATCTAGGCTCTCAGTTGTGGGGTACACGTCATGCCCAGCTCACACCACGGAAGATGTGCAAAAGTATGCTGACACTCTTGATCCTGGCCAATTTCTTTATTTCTGATTACTGCAAACGGTTTTGTATCCAATCACGTATTGTTATGGTAACTAGCTGGATTTGGATGCTCTTTTGTCTCGCCATTGTTCAAGCCTTTCGGATGAGTTCCGCGCTTTCATGCAAGCAGTGACGATGACAACAGGTATCCTTTCCAACTTTCCTTGGTTCATGCCATTTTCCCAAAAATGTTTCCCTCTTTGAACGATAACGAAAACGATAACTAAACGATAACCATTTCTTGACAAAATGTCCTTCGCTGATGGATGGCCCAGATGCCAAAAGATTCTTGAGACCTTTGCCGTTTAATATTATCACTTGCTCATTGCGATCTTTTCGCTGCTATGCATATTTGTTTGCAGCGCTCCACTGCTTTAGTCAATCCCGGTTCATCTCGGGCACAACTGCACCTGTAGGTCCGGTTTGACGATCTTTATCCTAGATGAAGATAGCCAAGGCAAAGGCGTTAGACCAGGTCGATGGTTTGCTGCGCAGACGCTGGCGAGTGAATGAAAGGCATGGAGCATGTGGCTGTGAGAGCTCACCCGGGTTTCCTCCAACAAACTGAATTCAAAGCTTGTTTCTGAGCTGGAGAAAGGATGGTGCAACTGTGATTTGCATTTGCGTTGGCAGGTATCACACCACACCCACCATACAGTTGAAGCGCTGGAAAAGAAAGCGCAGGGCAGTCAAAGATGCCCAAGACGCGAAGTGGAGGTGTAAAAAGGCTTTCCGCATGCAGTTTGCCAGGGGATGCGGATGATGCAATCAGGATATACTGTGAAACGATATAGTGAAGTCCCAAAAACGATAGCTTTGCCCCGAGATCGCATTTTTCAATTGAGGTTTTGCCGATCGCTCATATATATATATACTGGATATTACTATCATTATCATGAGGTTTATCCATATACATCATATAGATATATAATATAGTAAATTACATACATACCATACCATACCGTACCATACCATACCATTGCATTGCATTGCATTTCATTGCATTACATTACATTACATTACATACATACATGCATACATACATGTATGTGTATATATTTAACAGAAATAATATACATAGTATATATATAATATGTAATTTATAATGTACATAGTGTATGTATCCTGCCAGGTGCAGCTGCTGCAGTGCGGCTCCCCTGCGGAGGTCAAGTTGGCCAGCGATGCCTTGGCGCAGTTCCAACGGAGCCGTGGCTTCGGCCAAAAGGAACATTGGAGAAATGGGGGGGTCCATGAGTCCATACTATGGTTTATAGGTGATATATCCAATTTAACTATGGTTTTATGGTGAATTTTGATTAAAACTAGGGAGGTTCATTACAAGGTGGTACCCCCCCAGTGATGTTTGTTGGTTTATAAACCATAGTAAGTATAGAATAGTATAGATATATCTACCATAAACCATAGTGAAATTGGAGTTATGTTCACCAACTTAGCTAACGAACTGGGGCACCACCTTGTAACCATGGGGGTAGCCTTTTATCGCTGGATGGTACATCAATATCAATGTACATTGAGGTTACATGAATATGATCATATTACATTTATAATAGTTATTGAGGTACCTCATTGTAAATTGACATTATTGATTTTACATATACCTTTATTATACATTGAGGTACATCAATATATGATATCAATGTTGATGTACATCAAAATCCTTCACCTCCATATGGAGGTTTCCATAGCCATGGGGGTAGCCTTTTATATCGCTGGATGGTTGATTTCATGGAAAATCCCATCTAGAAATGGAATATGATGGAAAATTCCATTTTGATAACTATGATGGAAAATCCCATCTAGAAATTTCATGGTAACTATGATGGAAAATCCCATGTTGATAACTTTAGGGGTACCCCCATGACTTGGGAAACCTCCAGTGATTTCCATCATTTTGATAACTTGGATTTACCTTGATTATCTTGGGAATCTCTTGGGAGTATCTTGTTATCTTCGGATTCTAGACTAGTAGCTAAAAATGGTGGTAATATCATGTAATATAGCTATGAAAGGTGAATTCACCAGGATATGATGAATTTCATGGGACTTGTGAAGGGATTTAACCATCAATAAATGGGAATATCACCTTAAATGGTGGTTTAACCATCACCACATAGGAAGATCTTGGGAAGATCTTGTTATTTTCGGATTTTCATCATTCCCTAGATGTTCCCAAGATAGTCCCTATTTAACCGTCCAGGACAAAAGAACCCAACATATTCCCACCATTGTATCCCTAGAAGGTGAGGTCCTCCAGTTATGTTTGTTGGTGTATAAATCCATTATTTTTCACTATAAATCCTCCATAAACATTCATAAACCAGAGTTAAGCCTGAGTCAAGCAAATGATGTGTGTCAACTTAGCCATCTAGCTTGGCTAAATCACCATTTTTGACGGTGATATTCCCATTGTTTGTGGTCAAATATTCCCATGAAATCCCATTCAAATGACCCTGGAAGAGGGCCTCACCTTGCACTATATCCTGGTTAAGCAAAGCTATTCTCAAGATATTCACAATATAGACATTTTTAAGATATTTTTGAGACAGTTATAATATAATATAATATATAGACATTCTTTAGCTAACTCATTCACAATATATAGTCACAACTATAATATAGACATTTTTGTTTGATACATGTTATGTTCCCCATAAACCATAGAATTTACCACGTGAACTGTCAACTTAGCCAAAAAATGAATCAGCTATGAACCCATGAAATCCACCATCTTTGGTGGTGGTGCTTTTTTTTCACATTTTCCCACGGTCAAACGTTCGGGGGCCAAACCTTGTAATTTAGACAACCAAGAATAATCCCAGAAGAAGTCCTGTGAAATTCCCATTTGTTGATGGTAGAATCCCAGAAGAAGTCCCATGAATTTCATCATATCCCCAGGATTAACTATGGAAAAAAGTATAGAAATCCCATGAAATCCCATAAATCAGCCCTGTAATCATCTCTAAATCCCCTGATACCTTCTGGTAAACAGTTCCAGTTTGCGAACTGGAAAATCACCATCTTTGATAGGAACATCAGCTATTTCTATGTGCCGTTCAATAGCAAACTGTTAGTCATTACCAGAGGATAAATCCCATATCATCCCATTATTCACCAATGTTAACCCATTGTTAAACCATGAAAATCACCATTAAATCACCATTTATAGTGGTTAAATCACCATTTGCCAAAACGGTTTTATAGTAGGATCACGATTCAATCACCATGAAATCACCATTAAATCACCATGAAATCACCATTAAATCACCATTTATATTGCTTAAATCTCCATTTTCCTCTGGTTTTCTAGTAGCATCACCATGAAAAATCTCGAGTTTCGTAGCGTCCCAAGGCTCCGCCCTTCGCCTGGCCCTGCCGCTGCTGCGCCTTTCGCCCTTCGCCTGCGCCTTCGCCGCGCAGAGCCTGGCGCAGCGCGCGCGGCTGGCGGCGCCCGAGGATGCCACAGAGTGGCCACAGGCGGACGGAGGGAGTTCCCTAGATGGGCCATGGAGTTAGTTAACCATAGGAAAACCATAGGAAAATGGTTCATGGTGGTTTTACCCTCTGGTAATGACTAACATAGCTATTGAAAATGGCCCAGTCGAAATAGTGGATCTACCCAGCTATAAAATGTTGATTGTCCATAGCTATGTTAATTTACCAGATGGTAAATGGATTATCATTGGGATTTTTTGGGGGTAACAAATCCCCAGTTACTAACCATTTAGCTAATCCCATGGCCCATCTAAGTGGTATTTTGGCCGTGAAAAATGAGGGAAGCTGCTGATTTTGCCATGACAAAATCATGGAACATAAGGTGATGTTATCCAAAAAAATGAGGGACACGTGTTTTTTTTGGTATATGTGATTTTATTGAATCGAAACAGACCAACAACAGGGCGTAAATAATAATGTTCCTAGTTTTTGGTCATGTCAAGTGTATCTATTCATAACAGCCAGTATTAACTAGCCATTGTAGCGCTGGCTATGTTCTATACAACCAGTATATTTGTTTATTGCTCATAATATCTCATAATTGCTCATGTATATTATACACATTCAGATGCTACCATCTATTTAATATAGAATCTGTATAGAGAACCATATAAAATTATGTGTATATATATACATACATACATACATACATACATACATACATACATACATACATACATACATACATACATACATACATATGTGTGTATATATATATATATACATGCCATTGTATCCCATCATATTCATAGTGTTGGCGCCATGACCCTAACCATTCCAACAATGTGGACCCTCTGTTTGTTGGTTACCTACTAGTTACTAGTTCATACTAGTTCGTTATATCAGTTGCCATAGTGGAATTGGGAATATGTTTATCACCTTTGGGATGGGTCAAAAAACCTGTTATTACGCATACATTCCATATATTACTGTGGAAGAACTATCCATGATTTCCAGTGACTTAGGGTACCAGGTACCAGGGCCTACCAGGGTGGCCCATAGGCAGCTTAGATCCTCATCCAAGGTGGTCCCCCACATTCTCGAGCTGCTTGCCGAGCCACATCTCCCACGCCCCGCGCTACGGCAGCTCTGCGTGGCTCTGGCGCGAAGCTGCGTGGCACTCTGTGGGGGGACCCGGGATGGCCTTGCCGTGAGAAACCTGGCAGAAACTGGGGGATTTTTACGGATTTCATAGGCGAAAATTGTGAAGTTGGTGATTGTGGGAAAATACATGGAGAAAATCATGGGAGAAAATTTTTGCATTGGGGTGTCAGGGGGCTGGTTTGGTACTAGCATTTGCCATTTACCTGTCTTTACCCAGCATTGCTGACGTTTTAGTTGGAATTGCCATTCCGCTACATCAACCAACCAGTGCCCAACCTTTAATTATTGATGATTGATAAAGCAGTCCAAGATGGCCCCCCAGTGCTAAGTTGGTTACAGTTGGTTCATGTTTAAATCTATCCAGCTGTAGATCTATATCCAGATCCACCAGAAAGCTAGCGGTTTTTGCCCAGCTGTGAATCAACTTAGCTAACATTGCAAGGCGGTGCCCCAGAATTTGCTCAGTTGGTGAAGTCACCTCAGTTCACCCATATTTCACTGTTGGGTTTAAGGAAGTTTACGATGATTCTAACTATAGATGGGATCATACACAATCATAAATTAACTCTAAATCTTATACCTAGACACTCTTTCGGTAATTATGTTTGCCGGAGGCAAGAATTTGTTGAATGTACGCCGGAAACTTTTAAAAAGGCTGGAATTCTGCAAAAACGCCGGGGAAGTCAAAAAATCCGGATCTACAGATGTATGTTGAAACAACAAAATACAGAAAAGGTACCCTCTTAAAATTACGCCGGAATAACGGGCAATTACGCCGGAATAACGGGCAATTGCGCCGGAATTATGGGCAACTACACCGCCTGGAAACATGACTAACTATTTCAAAACAACCTGCAAACCAGAATTGCCGGCGCGGGTTGAAAAACGCCGGGAAGCATCAGAAGGCGCCTTTTACCAGGCAAAGTCGCCTTTTTCCTAAAAGGCAAAAATAAAAGGGCAACATTTGGAGTTAAGTATTTTCATATGTTTTCTCGCTTAAACCCATTCAAATATGTTTAAATCACCATATGTTCCATGGATTTTCATGGTGAAATCGCATGAAATCCGCCATGAAAATCAGGGAGCAGCACCTGCAGCAACCGTCTGTGTGGAGGTGACGAGTGGCCGGACGCGGTGCCACAGGCGCTGGCACAGCTGGGAGCCGCGGAGCAGCTGACGCCGCTGCTGGAATTTCTGCAGGCGAGGATGGGTCAAATGGGTCAAATGCCATATGAATTTCCCATGGTTTGGGGGAGTTTATATTGAGATTGGGTTGATGATGATCTGGTCAAGATGATGATTTGCAGGCTGGTGGTTGATATCATACTAAATATATTGGGGATTAGCACAATCCATGCGTATTTTTTCGTGTTTGAAAATGGAATGTATGACATGGTCTTACAAACATGCGGATATGGAGTGGGTATTTAATGAGGATGTAACCAGCACCCTCGTTATTCGGGTGTGGTTGAGAATGGAATATTAATATGGAACTTACGTTTGTACGTAAAACATAGCTGTTTTATTCTACCCAATTATTTGGTACTTTAACCCATGTTTATGCGTACTTGAGATCTTGAGGGTCTAGGTGGATATGTAGCGGATATGTTAATTACCAGGTTAAAACATTGTTATGAAGGAATGCTACTTGTAGCATATAACCAGGTAATATATCCATTTGTAAGTTGATAGGAAACCGTTGTGTCTGAAAATGGAGGTGTTACCTGGTTTCTTTTTGGGATAGGGGATGGGTTTTGGATACTGGTGGCGCTTGGAAGTTTGAACCCTTCCTCAGTACCTGGCATATACTTGAAGGTAGCCCCGGGGGTGAATGTGTTAATCTGTGCTGCCCACTAATCTGAGGGACGCTTTTTCTGAAGATGGGAGGAGTATATATATATATATAAATTATATATAATGTATATATATATATATGTGTATAACTATATATATAATATATATATATATGCTTTTGTGGATCCCCAAATAATCCATGGATCCTCAGGGTATTCAGCCGGGAGGCTTTGGCGGAAGAACCCTTCAGCCGGCGCCTGTTGGTGGATGGCTCTCGGAGGTTTCCGAAAACTGCTGGCTACCCCAAACCATGGGTTTTCTAACCAAATAACCAAAAACTTGGATGATCAATTGGGGTATCCCCATGACTTAGAAAAAACCTCCATATATCATCATCATATATATATACATACATATCTACACTTTTAGATGGTTTGAAGTTCTACAGTTCGTTTTTCCCAAACAAGCAAAGGGTTGATGACACCGATGTCCGTAGTCACGAGTATAAACAAAGAGGTCAGTGGTGAAGAGTATCCTCAGGAAAATGAACAGACACCTTTTTATAATTCAAAACCGAACAGAACTCACTATTCTTATAAGAATATGTTCAACATATTCTTGTTGTTTGTTTAGATCATAGCTGAGTTGTTTCATGATAATAGCAAAAATAACATAGTTTTCATAACTCCCTATCAACGAAGAATTATTAAGTATACTAATCAATATCATCAATTACAAGGTGGTGCCCCATAGTTAGCTAAGTTGGTTTATAACTCCAATAACTATGGTTTATGGTAGATATATCTATACTTACTATGGTTTATAAACCAACTTATAACTGGGGGGGTACCACCTTGTAATGAACCTCCCTAGTTTTAATCAAAATTCACCAGGTCTCGCTTCCTCCTAGCGCTGCAACGCCGTGAGCCTGAGATCTTCGCAGCACTGAACCAGGCGGGGGTCACATTTTTTCACAACATGGTAATTTAAGCATTACATGATGGGGAGATTTATAGCTGATTTATGGAAAAACCAACAATTATGATGATTTAACATGGGTAAATTTAAGCATGAAACATAAATCTCCCCTTTTTTTTCACAACATGATGGAATATGATGATTTAACCAACAAAAAGGGGAGATTTATAGCTGATTTATGATAGCAAAGCTGCTGAGTAAACCATGTCGCTCCCGTTTTTATATGAACAACATCTTTATTTTTGGTTCATAGTTCAATTATGTTATTTGAATTTATTTGACATGTTGACGTCATTACTTCTCATCCCTTTGATAGATAGAATTCATTTTCTGGTTCTCTGATGGTTACGTGTAGATAAATATTGACCTAATGATTTCTTATCCTTGTTTAAGTAATGATAATATTCCTCATCATGTGTTTCATGCATGATTGACACCATTGCGTGTCCATATTTATATCACAGGATCATAGATGTACTGTAACTGAGGTTGTGTTTCTCATTTTCCTATGATTGCACAATCCTTATTGGTGTATATTGATTATTCTTATCCTATCCTATGAGTATCTTGGGTTTTGACACTAACAGTTAACACACATCAGCTTATAACTGCGGGCCGACGGCCCCCAAACGATAGATAAGTTGGTTTATAATTCCAATAACTATGGTGTATGATACGCAAACAACTATAGTCAATGGGGTGTATAAACCAACTTATAACTGGGAGGCCCCACATGGTAGAGGATCATGCTGATGTTGTATAAGTTTTGGTTATCATGTTCCTACGGATAAATTACTTAGCATATATAATCATGCGGTAAAGCCACGTAAATATGTGTAGGGCGCGCCAGACCACAAGGTCCCAGAGGTAGTATGAAACACCAGTCGGCTAATCCCATTATTGTCCCAATGGTCGGGTCAGTCATGTAGCTAATTATACGGTAACTACGTCTAAGTATATATACGGATTTTTAAATAGACAACTGTTTTTTTAGACTACCTCCAGGAAGGCTTTCCTTGGCCCGCCCGGCCATTTAAACATACGGAATCCGATTTGTTTACACATACATTTAAATATACGGGTGGAACTTATGGAGAATCCTTCTTGTCAATGTTTGGGATTTTGGGAAAACAATTGGATTTAGATGGATAATAGATTAATAGACGGTATAAATTGTCCAATAGTGATTAGTGACAATCGATTTATGTCCGTTTATAATATATTTGATTTTTAGTTGTATATCCATTTTAATCCATTTTAAATCCATGTGTAAGTTCAGAGGTAATTTTAAGATGTTCATACGTACGTATAGCATGGTATAACCAAAGTTCAGTTATATATGTTTATCAGTTTATCATGTTCCTACGGAGAATCCTTAAGATTTTTATAATTATGATAATCCATCTATATCCCTATGTTATAAACCCATTCAATTCATTTAAATCCATATATTTATACCATTTATGAATATAAGTATGCCTGATGATCCGTCCAAAAAAACTGATAGTCAGGTTATATCTCATTATTTCAAAAAGAACAACATTTCATTCTAAAGGATATATTGTGGGTGGAAGATCTCCTGCACCATCCACGGTAATGTCATTATGTTGGTAAAACAATGTCATAAACCATCCCCCAGTCATCACCATCTTTATAGGTGGTGTGTTTACCATTCCCAGACATGGGTGCTTTAAGGTATTGTTTTACCCACATTATATAAATGATTATTCAATTTTTCATGATCAATATTAACCATGGTATGGTTAGTGAATATTGACATGATCAATATTAACATGGTTATTACCCTAGTATTGTTGTCATCCGAAAGCCAACTGCCCATGATATGTGTCAATAACCATCATCAATCATTATTATTGTCCATTATTCTCCACACATTGATCATTCTTAACCATCATTGACCACTAGTCAGTGTTTTACCCACATTACATTCAATATATATACCTGAGATTACCATGGATTATTACCACGGAAAAAAAAAACTCCGACTGGTGCAGGATTTCTCAACCATCCACAGTATGCTAAGTAGTATAGATGAATTTTATTAATCATCATCAATGATCATTATTAACAATCATACACCATTATTAACCTAGAAAACCATTGTTTTACCAACATTATATATATATATATACATAATTATAATATATATATATATTATATATATATATTGTACATATATGGAGGGTTCCCAAAAAAGGGGGAATCCCCTCTAAATCATCCATTTATAGATGGATTTTCATTTTTATAAACCAACCATCCAAGGCCCTTCAGCAACGCTGCAGCAGTGGCACCTTGGACTGCGCCGCCGCCTGGTTACGCGCGCAGGGGCTCTATGAGGCGATGGAAAAAGGGGGAAAAACCTGGGGAAATCCGCTAGGATCAATGGAAAATGATACGAAACTCATGGGAACATAGGGAAATCATAGGGAAATCATAGGGAAATCATAGGAACATCTGGGAAAATCATAGGGAGATCAAAGGAACATCTGGGAAAATCATGGGAAAATCATAGGAAAGTCCTTGATTTTGTGATTTTCCCAAGAGGAAATCCAGCATGGGGAATCCATTAAGGGAACATGATTAATTCGATTAACTTTTGTGGAATCCCTTAAGCAAATTCCAAATATACATCCCTAAATTGAATATGAAACCTGGGATCCCAGTTGTAGATCATTCTGGGAATTTGCTGTTTTGGGTTGGGTGCACACGTATCTTTGCTGGTAAACCTCTCTTTTCTTGCTCTTATCTTACTCCTTTTGGGTGGCGAAGCCTGCCATTACTATACTAACTATTACTTGCTATGATCATTCTTTACCTTATGGTTATCCCCATTGATCCCTATTGATAGTGCATAGATATCAACAATTGGGTGTTCTTCTGAATGTCAATCTCATGTTCTTGTCCCTATTGGTTAATTTTGATTGTTACTATCCCTATGGCTATTGTTATTTTATGGTTTTTATTTGGTGTTGTTTAAGTTTCTATCCCTATTGATTGATCAAGAAAACAAAAGACATTTTATTTCCCTAGTTATAAGTTGGTTTACAAACCCCATGAACTGTAGTTATATCCCCGTATCAGCCATAGAATTCACCAAATTATGTAAGTCAAATTGACTACCATAAATCAGCCATAAATCCCATGAATTCCACATGTTGGTTGGTTCAATCACCATGTTTGCTGGTTAAAGCTCCGTGTTTGCCAGTTCGCTCCCCCTTTTTGTTGGTTAAAGTCACATTTTCCCATACGTAGGTTTCCTAAAATTAGCGGGTGCCCTCAAAAATCATCCATTTTAGTAGGACTTTCCATTCTAAAGCATCCAGCTAGGGGTACCCCGAAGGCGCGGAACCCCCCGTATATCATCCACCCCCCAATTTTCAACCTTGAAATCCGATTGAATCCCATTAAATGCCATAAATCAGCTATAATTCCCAGTCACTAAGTGTCAACCATGAACCTTTGGAATCAACATCAAACAATCAGCCATGATGTTCATTCATTTTCCCATCAACCATGGCCGAATTGTCCTTCAGGTTTGTCTCCAAAGATTGTTTCCTGAAATCTCCAAATCTCCATCTCCACCACGGGGATCGGAGCTTTTTGGCCCCCCAAGCGTTTGGGTTGGTCCACCAGTAGGTTTGACGTCGATACCAATGTGTTATTTGTTTTGGTCTGGGAATCCCAGAAGCAATTTCAAGGGAAAGATTAGCTAGGAGCTATAGCAACCATCAACATATGCAATCCATTATCCCATGATCAGCCATGATTTTCCCATGAGTCTTCCGAGAAATTAATCACGTCATAAAAATTAATCACGTCATAAACATATTCCGTCAAAAATCACTACCATTTACTAGTAATAATATATAATATCCCATTATATTTACATCATTAATATAGTATATTGTCCCATCTTCTGATGAATATAATTCTAGTACATTATCCCAGGATATTGCCATCATTATAGTATACTATCCCATATCATAACCATGATATAGATCATTAATGCGAACTTTAATTGGGACTATAAATATTAATATCCCATAATCACTATTATATCCCATTTTTCAGTGTTTGGATCCATACGAAAAATATCCCATTAATATAGGAGTAATATTATCCAATATAATATACAGTTGGGAATAATTATATATCATATTAATACTGTCATTCATTACTACTATCATTATTAATGGGAACTATTGTCCCCATTACATTAACCATTATACCTCATGATAATACTATTAACTATAACAATATCCCATCAATATTCCCTTTAACTAATAATAACTGGTTGGTGGTTTGGAACATGAATTTTCTTTTTCCATATATTGGAAATGTCATCATCCCAACTGACTTTCATATTTTTCAGAGGGTAGGTATACCACCAACAAGATATGTAATTATTCATAATATCCATGCTAATCACTCGCTAATTACCAATGGGATCCCATCAAATTTTCCTATGATATTATCAATATTCCCATCAAACTATCCCATACATTGGGAATAATCATCCCAACTGACTTTCATATTTTTCAGAGGGGTTGAAACCACCAACCAGATAATAGTATCCCGTATAATTAAATCAATACTGACTAATAATACCAAGTGAACTGGCTTTCATATTTTTTTTTAAGAGGTGTAGGTATACCACCAACCAAATATTATTAACTATCATCATTAACTATCTTTAACTATCATCAACTATCATCATGAAAGTTATTGATATTCCATTCCCAATGAGGAAAATCCCAAGTAGATGTTATCTAATGGCTATCAGAATTAGATAATGGGATAAACCACCAATTTTCCATATTTTCAGAGGGGTTATCCCATCTTTTCCCAACGTTTTTTCGCTAGGAGTGGCTTCCCATGATCGGCCTTGGCGCGCAGAGCGTTGCCGAACTGCATCCTGGCCTGGTCGCCTTGGCGCCGGCCCTGAACCAGGTCTCAGACCGGTGGGGCTGCGGTGCGCTTGGAAAATCCATGGGGAAAATCCTGGAAATTTATGGTGGTTTAACCACTATAAATGGTGATTTAACCACTATAAATGGTGATTTTATGGTGGTTTAATGGTGATCTAAGGGGATTTACTCTCTGGTAATTCAACATAGCTATTGAAAATAGTGATTTATAGTTGATTTACCCATTGAAAATGGTGATATTCCATAGTTATGACAGTTTACCAGAGGGTACTGTGGATGGTTAAGAGATCCTGCACCAGTTGATAGGTGGTAAACATCCCATGATTTTTGTTGGGTTTCAACCATCCGTTTGGTGGTGCAGGAGTTCGCAGCCATCCACATCATGGAAATTATACGAAAAACATGGCAATTATATGGAAAATAATGGCAAATTTAGCAAAATTCCTAGAACAGATAGGCACAGTTTTTGGGGGAACATATGGAATATGATATATGACAGGAAAATTATAGGTATTATTTGTTACAAAATTATATAACATAGCAAAAAGTCATGGAAAACAGAAAACGGACCATGGTATTTTGGGTAACATCAATAGGACCAATGTGCTAGGCTGATAGGATTTTTTTGGTGGGATTTCCATGGAAAAAATCCGGAAAAAAATCCCTGGGGAACACTGAAAGGGTAGCCTCTGGTTATGACTAGCAGTTTGCCATGG